ATGATGGTTTTGTTACTGATGAATTTAAAGAGGGGGTGCAATTTTTTGTGAGATTTGCATTCTCTAGACCCAAAGCAAAATTAGAGATCAAGTGTCCTTGTTTTAAATGCATTTGTGCATTTGTGTAACCATGGGTTTATGAACAACTATTATACATGGTATGTTCACAGAGAGACATCTAACAATCTATCAAGAAACTTTGGAAGGGAATCTTCTAACATGGAGTTTGTCAGAAATGAGGCAGATGCAATATACCATGAAATGGTATTTGATGCAATGGGTCCACAACCTGAATACAATGAGGGGTCGATGGCTGAGGAGACAAATAGTAAGGCAAGAGAATTTTATGATCTTCTGCATGCTACAGAAGTTCATATTAGTGCTAAGGGACAAAATATCACAGTACTTTCATGGGTGGCAAAAATGCTAAACACGAAGACTCTTTATAATATGAGTGCTGCTAATTGGGAGATGACATTATCATTGAGTCGAAAGTTGTTGAGTCCAGAGGACCAAGAGAAGATCCCAAAGGATTTCTACAGTGCCAAAAAAATGATAAATGTGCTTGGACTTGGGTACAAGAAAATTGATGTTTGCGTCAATGATTACTTTTTGTACTATGATGAGCAAAGCAAGAATTTAACTGCTTGTGAGCCAAGGAACATGGCTGTTGTGAGGCAGAAAGATGTTCCACGGAAGTCTTTGTGGTACCTTCCAATTATCCTAAGATTACAACAATTATACATGTCTAAGAAAATGACAGAGCACATGACATGGCATTTGAAATGTCGTGAGGATGCTAATGAAGTTATTCATCTTGCAGGTACTGAGGCATGGAAACACTTTGATGAAACTTATACAACATTTGCCAAAGAACCTAGAAATGTTAGACTTGGGTAGTGCAACACCTTACTCTTGTTGGCCTGTCTTCCTTACTGTGTACAACCTTCCTCCTAAATTATGCATGAAGTCAAAGCATATTTTTCTTGCCATGATAATTGCTGAACCTAAAAGTCTAGCTAAAAATATTGATGTTATGTTGAGGCCATTAATTGATGAACTTAAGGAATTGTGGACAAATGGGATCAAAACGTATGATACTTTTAGACCACAGAATTTTATCATGAAAGTTACACTGTTATGGACTATAAGTGATTTTTCGGGTTATGACATGTTATCTTGATGGAGCACACATGGGAGGTTATCATGCCCTTATTGCATGGAAAACACAAAGGCTTTTCAACTTCGATATGGAAGGAAAACTTCATTTTTTGATTGTCATCATCAATTTCTACCTCCTAGACATCCATTTCGTAAAGATAAGAAAAATTTCTATGTAAACTGAGTGGAGAA